CTCTTTCTTTGTACCAAAAAAAAAAAAAGGGAAGTTTGTCTCGTTATATGGTAAACAAAAAGTCAAATTTGGTATTAAGTTATTTTTATCGAAAATAAAGAAGAAAACTTTTAGTGGCCCGTCCAGCAGGTAATTTTTTCAATATCTTTTCTTACTTTTACTAATTCTAAGTGATTTTTAATATTACAATTTTACTAAAAACAAAATATTTTTATTTTAAGATATGGCAATTGGTTACTCATAATCTCTCTCCATAATCAAAACAAGAAAATAAGTAACTGATACATTTTTTTTTGCCAAAACGATAGAGATATTATAATCAAAGGGCACAAATGTGCAACTACAAGCTGAGAGGACAAGTCAGAAGACCGCCTAGAACCTCAACTAGCCAAGCTAGAAAACAAACAGACTCAACAACCTACCAACAACTAGAATCGCTCCCCACAGGAGAATATGATCGCCCCCCACATGGGAATCAACACAGGGGCCAACGGCCTAGACCAAAAAGACAAGACATAAAACACTCAGGCAAAGAGCCCAGACCAAAAACACTAACCTAGAACAGACTCGAGCAACAACAATAAAATCAAAAACAACAAGGCCCTTCCCCAACCAATAAACGAGCCTAAAACAGCGGAGAAAAATCCTGGAGGTAGAGTCACTGCTTGCGGTAGGACGACGCCAGTCGACCGACACAGTGAATGGGCCCGACTAGCCCGGTTTGTGTGGATATCTGGCCTAAGAAAATCCCCTTGCCCGTCGCATGGCCGATTCCCAAACTGATACCAGAACGTTTATGTATAACACACAAATCACAATATTACAAAGTAATTATATCATACTCGTGCATGGTTGTTTGTAGTATTTTTGGGCATGTGGTAATCGAGCTACCCGACTCGAGTCGTTCTCAAAGGAAGGGTGTTTGGAGCTTCGTTTACTACCTAGTCGTCAAAGTCACATAACCAAAAACAAGGTCCTAAACATTCTACTCGCGTGAAGGGATTGTATTGCAAGAAAATACGCTAAGCAAATAAATAAAAAATGATGCAAAATGCAAATAGAGAGAGAAAGATCGAAACTTTGGTCTACCAGAATCTCTATGACCCAAGAAATAGAAAAATAAACAAGAGAAAACATGCGAACATAGTGATCCTAGGTATTCTAACACGAGCTTTCTACACTAAATCATCATGCTTTGAACAAAGTCGAGACCTTTCTAGATAAACACGTATCGAATCCGAACACACAAAATAAAGCGAAAACCTAGAATCGAGCATAAACACACAATTCGACAAAACAAACTCGAAGTAGAAAGGCCTAAGCAAAGTACCTATTCTCCTATCGCATGCTTGGACGAAAATAGTGAATGCTTGAAACCTAGATAAAAATAAAGTTATCGAAATTTTGCGGGAAAAGTAGAGTCATAGATCTCCAACCAAAGCATAAAAAAATAAAAGAGACAAAATGGAGAGGATTTCTCAACTTAAAAGTTGGGAAATGAGGAGAGATGTCCAAAATTACAAAGCACAATGTCTATTTATAGTTACACCATAAACACACACTACAAACACACACTACAAACACACACATTTAATGAAATTCTGAAGTTCGCCGGTCTCGAATCTTGTTCGCAGCGAGTTTTGGAGTGAAAATCAACTGAAAAGGGGCTTTCGCAAGTCGCCAAGGAAGGTTCACTGCGAGTTCGGGCCTTGGGTGCCTTGGGTGCACGTTTAGCGCGACGCGAAAAGAGGTCTACAGTGAATGTGGCTATGCTGGTGCAGGGTGTGCGGTTGGCGCGACGCTAGGCTCCGTTCGCTGCGAGTGTCGCGGGTGTTGTGCGCGTCGCTTGAGTTTCGCGGAGCGCGAGGGAAGTTCTGTTGCGAGTGTGCGCCCTGGGACACTTGCGCCTCATTGGCTGCCAAAGTGCTTCCGCAGCTAGTGCCGAGCTGATGCGTGCAAGGCTCTTCGTAGGGTGCCAATGCATTTTCGCGGCGAGTGCTTGAGCGTGTAGTGTGCAAATCGGCCGTGTTCGCGGACCGCCAAAGAGGATCTGCAGCGAGTGCGCTGGCTTGGTTGGGTTGTCCTCGGGCTTGGCTCGCGACACGCGAGTCCGCGTTCGCAACGAGCATTCGGCTACTCTTGGGGACTCGAATGGCTTGATCAAGTGGTTCGGTTGGTTCGTCTCGATGTGGCTCGGCATTAAAATGATGGAAAATGGTTCGGGCACTAACTCGTCTTCCCGAAATTGCGATATGGACCTACACAGCACAACAAAAGAGACGCAAAAATACGGCAAAATACAAAAACACATAACGAAAACAAAAACACATAAACCACGACAAAATGAACCGGTTGTCACAAAACCGAACCTAAAAATGACTCGACTAATCACATAAAACCTAAGAAAATACGCAAAAAAACATAACAAACAATGGTCAAGATGCTCGAGAGAATGCAAATTATGAAATTTAATAAAGTTGAAGTTGCATTTAATTACCAAGAAAAATACTTTACATTTTAATGGAAAATAAAGGTTGTACATTTTCTTCTTTCTGTTGTTTTTGAGTTGCTTGCTCGCTTCCAAAGTTTCCCTGTTTTTCTAATATATCCCTATTGTCTACAATGTAGGAGACTGGAAGCAACATTCCAAGTGATAATAGAATGCAAATTATGAAGATTCATAAAGTTGAAGTTTTATTTTACTAACAAAACTTAAATACATTGCAAGTGACATAATTAGTGTGCAAATTTTCACAGCCCGGACTTGATGAAAGTCTTGGTGTCCTGACCAAGCCCCTCAAAAATCATCATAATTCACTTTCACCATCACCTTAAGCTCCTTGGCAAATACTTCCATGGCAGTCTCTGGTAAAGACATGGGGACCAATACCCCCTTTTCTCCATCACTATTCTTCCACCGGCTGTAAAAACACACTCCGGTAAACCCCGTAATTCCAGGTACCGGATTACCGATGTATATTGTGTGGCCTCACCCGTAATCCACTTTCTCAAAGCCCACTGAAGGTTGCACTGATAATTGTTGTTCAATTTTTCTCACCATGCCCTAGAGCCGTTGTTCATTTACAAACTTGGTTGATGCATATTGATTCAATATTGTTGTTAGGTTGAATTTGTTGATATTGGTATACCACATAAAAGTTTATTGATGTTAGGAGCTTGAGTATATTAATAATAATGGTTGGTTTTGGAAAAATTGTCTTTTGATTTTTGTGAAAAATATTTTCGTTTGTTCACTTTGTTTTAGCTTGTCCATTTTTTATATATATATATATGGCTCAAACATTCCAAACACCTCACAGAACCACAGAACCTTTAGGTTGGAGGCAGAGGCCATAACCGAGCCCTTCTACTTCTAACAACACAGCTAAATACTATAGCACTCGTCCAAAACATAACAGGGGGAAATGAAAATACACCAAAAATAAAAATCTCATTCTATAACTTTCACAAGAATTTAATTTTCAAACTAATTATAATAATAAACTTATAATTAAATTATTAACGAGTAATCAAGCGAAAAATTACTTCAACTTATTTATTCCAATCTAGCTCGGTCCGGGTCTTGATCTTTCTCTGGGCCTTCACGTCCACCACAACTACAGTAATATTGTCCTTGCTCCCCTTCTGAAGGGTCTGAATGGATAGATACTGGGCTGCCGCCTGGGCTGCCGCCTGGGCTGCCGGGTCCACCTGTTCCCCTCGATTGAGGGATGATGTGGGCCCATTATTATTGTACCAACGGATTATTTTTTCTTACGAGCAATCTCACAAACCTCTTCGTTGGCCATTACATCCCACAAGCCGTCACTGGCTAGAATCATGCACTCATCTGGCCTGGCTCGTGGGGCGAACGTGACCTCAGGGTGCGGGATAATCGACGGTTTTAAATATCTGTCACCTGTTAAAATGCAAAGGATTGACAAGCTTAGCAAAGATTTATGAACATTAATTTAAAAAAAAAAAAAAAA